ATTTTTCAAAACGCAAACTAATACCCCAAGTTCCAGACAGGTGAAGGCTAGTCAGTAACTATGTTCTTAGTCTCCTCTACTCTTTTTTTGAGGTGGAATTTTGCTCTTGTTGCCCAGGCTGGAGTGCAACGGTGCGATCTCAGCTCACTGCAACCTCCTTCTCACGGGTTCAAGTGATTTTCCTGCCTCAGCCTCCCGAGTAGCTGGGATTACAGGTGCCCGCCACCACATCCCGCTAATTTTTTGTATTTTTAGTAGAGACGGGCTTTCACCATGTTGCCCAGGCTGGCCTTGAACTCCTGACCTCAGATGATCCACTCACCTCCTCCCAGTGCTGGGATTACAGACATGAGCCAGCCATCACACCCAGCCTACTTTTTATTTTATTTTATTTTATATGAGTTTGGGGGAAAGCAAAAGTTCTAAAGCTAGAGCTGGGTCAACATTAAGTAAAAATTTGCAGTAGGGCTGTGCAATATCATCTCCAATTTAATTAAACATTCATTCACACCCTAAAACTTGTATTCTTTAAAAAGTAAATAGGTTGGGCGTGATGGCTCATGCCTGTAATCCTAGGACTTTGGGAGACCGAGGTGGGCAAATCATGAAGTCAGGAAATTGAGACCATCCTGGCCAACATGGTGAAACCCTGTCTCTACCAAAAATACAAAAATTAGCTGGGTGTCGTGGCACGTGCCTGTAATCCCAGCTACTCAGCAGGCTGAGGCAAGAGAAACCCTTGAACCTGGGAGGCAGAGGTTGCAGTGAGCCGAGATTGCATGACTGCACTCTAGCCTGGTGACAGAGGGAGACTCCATCTAAAAATATATATATATATATATTTATATATTTCATAGATATATTTTATATATATATCTATGAAATAACAAATAAAAATGAAAGTTGTTTTTGTTTCTTGGGCTACCAATATTTCTTCTAGATGTTCAATAGTTTGACAGAGACTAAGACTGTCTGATATTTTTAACGTTTGATGAGTCAAGTGAATTCCATAGTAAAAATTTTGCCATTATTCTTAGAGCTTCTATTAAGACTATGTTGCATGGTTTCTCTATTAGTGATTCTGTAAGAATTAAGAACAAATTATTAGAGTGACTCCATTGAAAATAAAACTGGTAGCCTGTTTTATAACTCTATAAAATATTCTTCATATCTCTGCATCCTCTAGAAAGCACATATTTGAATTAAATGTATTTATTGATATTACATTTTACTAAGATGTTCAGGTGTTTCTGTGCTTTCAGAATGCCAGAAATTCAATCAATTACATAGAAATATACAGTCAATGATAGAGATATTTTATCTACATAATGTTAAACACCTGAATTGACTGAACTGAGGAACTCTTTAGGCATTGTGTAGATAGAGCTGAAATGTCACAAATATGATAATTTAAACCATGCCTCTTTTGTACTAAAACAACCAACATAAAAGCAATATATTTAGTCAATCAGATAATCCTTTGGGTTTACACAATTCCAAGCCATAAGTCTGAGTAATTTATCTTACTGAATTTACCCAACATTTAGATGGTTTCCTAAAATATAATTGAATCTCTGAATAAAAGAAGAAAAGATTCTGGGCTGGATTTTCTGCATAGAGACTATAAGTAAAAAACAAATAAGAAAGGAAAAAATTCCCATTTGTCCCTTATATATAAATGCCTTTTACTTCCTTTTCAAATGTAGCTCTTTTAGGCTATGCACATTTGAATTTAAGAACTTGGTTAGAAAGACCTGACCCAGATAAGTATTTATTAAAATGTAAATTAAACTTGCCTAAAAGAAAAAAATGCAGAGAAAATATTAAAATTAAAGTCCTTTGGCTGTAGAAGGTAGAGGTTTGAACCTTTCAAAGATTTAAGAAAGTAACTATTTTGGAAGAACAAAAAAGCAGGTCACTAATTTTATACAAAACTGGCTCTCCTTCCCCGTTCTCATTTCCCGTGATCAAGGGCACCACATTCTTCCAGACTCAGAATCCTCGTGCCATATTCAACTGTCCTTTCTTCATCTTTTCTAATATGTTCATATCACACCCTTTCTTTCTTTAAAACATTTTTTGGTTTACTCTTTAAACCATCCTGATAGAGAATCTTACTGCCTCATACCTGTATCACTACTAACAACTTCCAAAGTGGTCTTTCTGCCACCAGTCTCTTTCTCTTCAAATCTGCCTCCCCCAACGCTGTCAGATTTCTCATCCCTAAACACCATTTCATCATCGCTGCTCCCTGCTCATCACTCACATTCTTTACTACCTCTGCATTAAGCTCAAATTCCCTTCCTTGCCTGACTGTCTGGATCCTCTACAGCCTTCTGTGTCTCTCTTTCTTCCTTCACCCTCACACACTGCTATCAGTCCAGTCCTACTTTTTAACATTCCCCAAAATACGTCATTCATTTCAGACAACAAGTCACTCCATTCTGTAAGTCCCAATCTATGTGCCCCTTCTTGGCCCCTCTCCAAACCCATACCATTCTCATTCCAGTCACTGCATCTTGTCCTTTATGCGGAACACCATCCTTCTGGACTTTTACTTTTCGAGTTATCTTCATCTTTCCAGAACCATCTCAAATGCCACCTCCTCCGTGAAGACTTCTTTGACCCCTGTAGCCCAGTAACTTTCCTTCTTTGCTCTGAACTCCCATCCCATCTATAATCAGGATCGAATTACGAGACACATTACTTAAATACACCCCTACTGGCTTATATGTCACCCCATGTTTCTCAATTAGGGTGTTATGGGTATTCGTAACAAGGAACTTCATTCCTTATTCTTGGATGTCAACTGACAGTGGTGTTGATGTGACAACCCCAAATGCTCAGAATGTATTTCCAAATGCTCTAATTAATAATAAAAAAAAAAACTCCTTAAAGAAATTACTATGTCATATATACATTTGCTCAACAAGTAATCTTTGTTAAAGCAGTGAATGTATATTTTTAAGGAAATACCTGTAGTTCCCTTACGGTTGCCAATATATTTTTAAAAATTAGGAAGGAGCCTAGCTAACACTCAGTTGTTAATCATCACTGCACTTTAGGCATCTTTCATGAGGTATTTCACAGGACCTTACACTGATCCTAGATATTGCTATTTATCTCATTTCACAGATGACAAAACTAAGGCTCACAGAGTTCTGCTTATCCAAGAGTTTGAACGGAATCCTGGCATTAAGCCCAAGGTTGTTTGGAGCTAAACCTTTGGCTTTTTCTCCTATCATACAGCCTCTGTAAAGACAGCTTATCAGTAACAGCTTTGAAATAAGAGTGTGAACATGTAACATAATTAGCAAATTAAAGCATGTTATTAATGCTGATAGGTACTAATGACTGTAATGGAAAGAAAGGACATTAGACAAGACAAACAAGTTTTAAAAAATTATAACAGGAATGCAAATTGGCATCTAATAAATGGATTTAATCCCTGAACTTCCTTGCTGCAGACATTAACCTATGTTTGGTGTCTAATTGAGATGTACATATTCTTTACTTTCTTGTTATATTTGTCACCGTTTGTCTTGGAAGATAGTCAGTAGATCTCTCTAAATTTCCATTAATCAAGTTTTGGGTGATAAATGGCCAAATAAGCCTTGAATTAGGTAGCATTGTGAGATCCAAGGCTAAAGAAACCTGAGCTGACAATAGTTGCTTAGGTCTTTTCTTCTGTTGTCTAGTTAACTTTAATAAGAAATATTGCACAAACCAAGTATCACAGCACCATTTAAAATGCAGTATATATTTCCTTTAAGTTATGGCTCATTATTCATTTGATGCATATCTAAAACACTTACATTTTTTAGTAGTTTATTTCACTGTGTCCAGTTACAATGCATATATCAGCTAGAGTTTATGAAGTAATAGTGTGAATGATTCATATGTATACTTTTTAGAAAGTACACTCAGTTTCTAGCTATGTACACAGAAAGAACTATATTCTTTGTGAAAAATATGAGAAAATTCAACCCATTTAAAATAATCAGCATGTTGATTTTAAGTTTAGTTTTCTTTTTCAGCTATAAGAATAAGTATTTATCATCTATTTATTATGTTTAACAAATAAAGAAATTTAAAGCTAAGTTTATAAGTAACTTAGAACAATTGTACAAATACAGATAAATGTGTAAATGATATAAAACATTTTATTCCTATATAATTTTATTAATCACGTACTCTATATTGCAATAAAGTTTTGCACTTGTTCACTAGTAAAACCACTATTCAACTAATTATATGGGCATTGAGGTGATCTAAAAGCATAAAGGAATTTTTAGGTATGCTTATCAGGAAAAAACAGATTCAAAAAATTCAATCATTCTTTATGAAAAATTGAGCTTGATGTTGGCCTTTTTATTAGAACATTTCCTGAGCAAAGTGCATTTTCAGTTTCTGTATGCTAGGACACAGTGTAGGGAGCTGGAGGAGAGGGTGATAGAATCTTTCCCTACTAAGACTACGAAAAATAAGTCCAGGAACCTTCTCAGGTATATGGCTCCATTGTGAGTAACTGTAGAATGGCAAAGAAAGGTTCTTTCTTTTTTTTTTTTTTAACTAAACTGTTTTCAAACTATTTTGCCAAATCTTTGTTGTGCAATAGAATTTTTAAAGATAATTCTTTACCATGCAATAGAATTCTTCCTTACAGAAGCTAGAAATTGTCCAAATATTTTAATAATATTTCCAGAGAGGCACAAACATATTAAAGGTGAATTTCAAGAGTTTCTGTTTGTATTTCTTTGTATCTTAATAGCACCTGAACTGATACCTGCTGATGTGCTATCAAATTTTCCCTATCTATTTTTAGATCTTCAGTTGCTTTAGAGATGGATTTAATATGTTAGGCAGAAGCTTACACCGTGTAACATTTGCATGATTGTATTTTGGTTTCGCCATCAGCTAAACAGGGCAAAGTTGATCCCATCTCCAAGGAACTCTATCCCACATTTTCTCTGTTGACTTGGAGTTTCAGTTTTGCTTACCTGCTTCCTTGAAGATACTGTGCTGTTGAAACATCTGTTAGAGGTATTTAAATTCAAATTTGTGTTCTGATGGGTTGAGTCATTTTTCCATGTCTTAGAGTTTTCTTTAGGATCCGAAGGAATGGGATTTAAGAAAAGGATTCTAGCTATGAATCCATAGAGGACGGTAGCCAGGATCATTGGCACAACATAAAAGACACCAAAGTCCATTAGGTAAATAGGTGAGTAGTAATTCCTGGAGATCTTGTAACCACAAGATATCACAATAGTATCTTTGTAGGTGCTAATATTGAGATCCAGCAAGAAGAACCAGAGCATACAGTAAATAGATGTGAACGCCCAGACAAAGATGATAATCTTTTTGGCTCTGGAAAACGTGCAGAGAAACTGGGCTTTGATGGGGTGACAGATTGCTATGTACCTCTCAATGGTAAAGGCTGTTATTGAACAAGAGGATGCATTAATTCCCAAATACTGGAGGTAAGTTATGCAGAGGCATCCAACATAGCCATAGACCCAGGAACCATAGATACTGTCTGTTATATTGGGGAGGCCTGCAGCCACCAAGACCATGAGATCGGCTACTGCCAGGCTCACCAGGTAGCAGTTTGTGGGGGTTCTCATGTGCTTGGTTCTCATGACAACGAGGACTACCATGATGTTGCCCACAATCCCCAGGCCACAAATAATGAGCACCAGTAAGATGGTGACCACCTGGTATTCTAAGGCCACCACTGCTCGTGGCTGAAGCTGTGTTTGGTTCAGTTCAATGACTGTCTTGTTTTCCATCTTTCCTGGGTTAAAGTTTCTCAGAAACACTGACTTCTCAAAACATCTTCTTTCCAGTGCCCACCTTCATTGCAGCAGTTCCATCCCCCTGTGAAGGGTCATAGTACATATTTATTAACAGTGTTATTATTTCTGATCAAGTCCCAATCACAAGTAACTCTCACTTCCACTCCTTTCACTTGCCATTTTTCTATGAGAATAAGGCTCACATGTACTTCTTAAAACTTCTTTTATTGCATCTCTAGTGTAGAATGGAGTAACTGTTGTGATCAGCTTACATTAAGAGGGAGAAGTGTCCTCTTAACGGAGAAAAATGCTTAAGGAAAGAGAAACACCAAAAACTTCCTGTTTTGAAACAGTGCCCAATTGAAAAAAAAAAAAAAAAAAAAAAAACCTAAACACTATCTGCTAAATGAAAAATAATTACTAACAAATCTCCTAGATGCTTGGCAAAAGTATAATAAAGAAGAAAAAGATACCAGAGGAAAAAGCCAAGAGGCTCAATAATCAAGCGTGTTAAAATTTAGCTGTTGCCTCTTTTGCTCTCAGAGGGTAAGATCTGCCTTTGGTATAAAATAGCAAGCCTTTGAGATGACATTTTCCCATGCCCCCTGCCCCATATATCCAAGAGAGAACAGTTTCTTTTCTTACCTTATCCTGTGTAGCGCTGCCTGCTTTGCTGGGTAGATGAAGTAGTAATAGGTCCAAGTTTCTAATCTCGCAAAAAAGCTCGTCTACTCTATTTGACAGGGAGATCACTTAGCAGTGCTCAGTTTTTAAAACTGCAGTTTCTCCAAACCCTCACAGCCCTTTTCAACTAATGACAGACCATACAGCCGCAGCAGAAGCAGAAGCAGCAGCAGGAGCAGCAGCAGTGAGGCTGTCAAATCATAGATCGTCCCCTAATGAGAACATACTCGCTCGCTCTCTCTCTCACACACAGAGACACACACACGCGCATACATTCACACACACTCACAAATGCCAGTCAGTCCTCACTGATTCAGAGACTTCTGCTCTTGGAGGATTTACTGTTAAATGTGTTGATGATACAGTGTTTACTTTGGAAAGCTGAAATCATAAGCAAGGGGTCCAGAAGCAGCTGATCTTGTGGTTGCTTGATCGTCTAAGTTCTGCAGAAACTCTAGTACCTGAGCTGCTCTGAAACATATTTACACTCCTTGCTTGTTAGGACTTTGGGGGTAGCAAATCCTTGTCAGTCTAGACATGGCCCTTGAAGCTTGAAATACCTGTCTAAGCTGAAATCAACCTCTTTCTCTTTTATGAAAACCCTTACACTGTTTCTCAACTGAGTCAGTGCAATTGGCTTCCTCCTCTCCTATTTTGTGAATGGAAAATGAGTTAAAACTGATTTCAAACCTTTTCAGCTGCAATCTTCTGATGCTTATAACAATTATTTTTCAAAAGCCTCTTTGAGCTAAAAACATCAATTTAAACCTGCACAGAGTCTGTTAAGTTTGTTTTTGAACTCTTGTTTCTGGATGACTTTATAGAATCTCTCTATCAGCCCTGGGTGCTTTTCCCCTTCGCCCATCCTCTGGATTTCCAATCACATGAACCACCTGGCAATGTTGTGTCTCAGTTTATTTCTAGGTGGAAAATCATCAAGTAAAAATCTAGACTAGTGCCACTCTGATACCACAACTCTGAAATGAAAATGTATAGATATACCTTTTTAAGAAAAATATTCAGCTTTATTTCTCTGAAGTAGCCAGTGGGCAAATCTATACTTTTTTATGTTTTTTTCTTTAATTTTTTATTTTTTTTAAGATAGGATCTCACTCTGTCACCCAGACTGGAGTACAGTGGCATGATCACTGCTCATTGCAACCTCGAATTCCTGGGTTCAAGTGATCCTACCACCTCAAGCTCCCATGTAGCAGAGACTATAGGCACACACCACCACGCTCAGCTAATTTTTGTATTTTTTGAAGAGATGGGGTTTTCGGGTTTTGCCATTTTGCCCAAGTTGGTCTTGAACTTCTGGGCTCAAGTGACCCACCCACCTCAGTCTTCCAAAGTGCTGGGATTACAGGTTTGAGGCACTATGCCTGGTCTTAAATCTATATATATTTTTTAATGGAAGCTCAGAAAACATGTATTTTTTCTCAAGACACCAACTGAATACATCAAATGCTAATGCTTCTCCACTTTCATCTTATTAACTGACAATGAAAAACATCCTTAGCTAAATTTCCTGTAAGGTAACTGGTGGATTAGGAATAGACCTCTCTGCCAGGTGTGATGGCTCATGCCTGTGATCTCCCAGCACTTTGGCAGGCTGAGGCAGGTGGATCACCTGAGGTCAGGAATTTGAGACCAGCCTGGCCAACATGGGGAAACCCTGTCTCTACTGAAAATACAGAAATTAGCTGGGCATGGTGGTATGTGCCTGTAATCCTAGCTATTTGGGAGGCTAAGGCAAGAGAATCACTTGAATCTGGGAGGTGGAGGTTGCAGTGAGCTGAGATTGTGTCATTGCACTCCAGCTTGGGCAACAAGAGAGAAACTCTGTCTCAAAATAAAAACCAAAACAAAAACAAACCTCTAGAAGAAGTCAATGGAAGAGTTTATTTTGAGTAGACAGGACCGTAGGGATATCAAAAACATGCCCAAGGCCGTGTAACAATGAGATGAAGGTGAAGTTCTGGATTATTTTGAATGACTCTCACCTGTTGAACCACTGAGGAATCACTGAATTTCTACTTCCCAATTATTTGTAGTAACATATTAATGACCTGTGAGCCCACGGTCAGCCTTCAGTCATGTATAGTTTGGCCTGTCGGTAGGCCCTAGGGATTTAACACAGTTTATTATTTTTTACCTTTCAAAATTGAGAAACTGAATATCAAATTGGGATTGTTATCACAAGTATTTGAAAGGTCTGGCAGCCAAGGGCTTGCATTTCTTCACAGAAATAACCATTTGCAGCTGAGTGGCTGTTGGGGCCAGGAGTTTGTAGCGGTCCCTGGTGCAGGACGTGCATCCTGTTCCTCATGCCATACCACCTCCAGCTTCTCTCAGTCACGCATACTTGCCCTCTGCCACCATTTGAGTTCTGATCCCTGCATCACACCCAAGTTCTGAGAGAGACGGTGGAGGCCACCAGCCAAATGCACATTCTTTTACTCCAAGCAGGATTTTTGTCTGAATTTTAATTTTCTCCTCCACCTGGTTTAGCAGGCTGGACAATGGCTGTCCCCTGTGCCTTTCTCCCTGGCCTAGAGGACAGAGATTAGGCTGAAAACCTTGTTTCTTGTCTAGCCTTCTGCTTTTCAGGATGAAAAATGCTTTCTGAAGTGAAGGTGTTTTTCCCTACTGCACCCTACCCTCACCACTTCCAACTCAAAATTCCTCTCCAAAAGTCTTACTTTGTAAAGCCCATCTTCCCATCTTGTTTCCCTAAGCCCATCTTCCCATCTTGTTTCACTAAGCCCATCTTCCCATCTTGTTTCTGGCACTGCTGTGCAGAACAAACCACATCTCCATAAGGAAATGTTTTCTGACAGTCCCAGAAATGGCTCACACCCTCAGAGAAGGTGGGTCAGGTGGGGACTTGTTGAGAGTGAGAATGATAGGAAATGATGATTTATTTGAAGGATGTAAGCAAGATCTGCCTAAGTCAAAAGTATAACATCTTAGAGAATCAGAAGCCACTTTAATATTGGAAATGATTTAAAAATTAAAAAGAGACAGTGTGGAACACACTTTCACTTTGTAAAATCATCACAGTTATTTCCTTTAAAGCAAGACAACTCTGAAATATTTTATTAACTAGTCTCATAAACTTTCTAGCCTTCTGGCAAAGGCTCTGTGAAGAAGAATGGCAGGAAAGAAGAGTGAAGAGATATTACAGAGTGATTTCTCACCTTCACTGTGAAGAGTCAACTCTTTGTCCACTCATGCTTGCTCAGTACTTACTTATTGAGTGCCAATTATTTCACAGGCTCTGTGCCAGACACTGCAGATAGAAATATGAATACGAACAGCACAGAGGAGTCCCCAGCCTGGCATGGGTGACTTACAAAGAGTGCCAATTATACTGCAGTGTGTCAGCTCCTGTAATTGAGGTATGTACACATTTTTAAGGGTGTATAAGGTTAGAAATGACTAATTCCATGCGAAATGGTACAGTGTAATTTTGCAGGACCAGAGAGAAGGTCAACAGGACAAGGACCAGGATTTAGGAAAAAATTAGCAAGTTGGATAAATAACCCCTGAGCAACCAGTTGGGGTAGAGGAAAGGTACCATCAGAGAAAATTCAGAGGACGCAGCAGTAGGTGCCTTGTCTTTCCCCGAGAATGTCCCATGCAGGGCCTGAGTCCTCCCTAGGCACAGGGCCCCATTGCAGAGATGCATGCTAAGCCCATGGTTCCTGATTCAGGCTGACAGAATCATTGGTCATTAGTCAGTCCTAGAGCACTTCATACTATCTGTGACTTTGGCAAGTCATTGAACTTTTCTGTACCCCAATTTCTTCAATTGTAAAGTAAATAATAATAGAAGCTATCTCATAGGGTTTTTGTCTTTTTCCCTAGGATTAAGCAGAATAATATGAGTTCAAATTATTAGAACTAAGCTCACACAAGGAAGGTACTGAGTAAATGTTAGCAGTTACTATAATTATAGTAGAAGAAAATAACTGTTTTCTAATTCTCCTGATTTTTAAGGTATAGCCTTCTGAAGTTGTGCCCACCTCATAAATGGTTTCAAGAAGTGGCAGGTTTATCTACAGGAAGCTACATGCTCGATGTATGGCAGAGAACTGACAGGGAAAAGACAGGAAGACAGGATTCAAATCTATTCAATGATGAAGGGAATGAATAGGGTGACTCTTTTTTTTTTTTTTTTTTTTTTTTTTTTTTTTATATTTTTTTTTTTTTTTTTTCTTTTTTTTTTTTTTTTTTTTTTTTTTTTTTGAGACAATATCTCACTCTGTAGCCCAGGCTGGAATGTAGTGCTGTGATCATAGCTCATTGCAGCCTTAAACTCCTGGGCTCAAGCGATCTTCCCACCTCAGCTTCCTGAGTAACTGAGACTACAGGCAGGCACCACCATGCCCAGCTAATTTTTTACTTTTTGTATAGACAAGGTCTCAGTATGTAGCCCAGGCTAGTTTCAAACTACTGGCTTTAAGCAATCCTCCCACCTAAACCCTCCCAAAGTACTGGGATTACAGGCATGAGCCATCGTGCCCAGCTCCATAACTCTTTTTTTGCTCATCACATCCTTGAAATAAGTCAGGGAGATGAAAATATCCATGCTTATTGTCTCTTTCTGACTGAAATTTTATAGACTCTGTGCCCATTCTATAGCAAAATGAGTTTTTACCCAACTCTAGCAAAATGAATATACTAAGAGAGAAGGATAAGCATTGTTAATTTCAAATTGGATATTTGATAAGAAATTGATAAGCCTTGTTATTTTCAAATTGGAGTTTGAGACCCAGTTTGAGTTATAAAAGTAATTTAAAGTTTTGTGACAAATGCTTTTTTAAAAATATTTCAGATAATATGGGTATTATTTTATAAACTTCTCGTTTCACTTATGCAAATAAGAAATAATATAATGATTGACACTGAGATAGTGCCCAACATTGTTCACAGAACTTTATAGTAACTCAGTTAATACTCATAACAATCCTAAGAGATAGGTCTTATTACCAACCCAAACTTGCAAATGAGGAAACCAAGGGGTTAAACAACTTCCGAAGGACAGAGAATTGGTAAATTCTAGATACAGGGCACAAACCCTGAAGCCTGGCTCTAAAGCTATGAATTACATGGTAATGTCATATGTACATCTTACTGTGGATCTGGGTCAACAAAGTTTGAAAACCGCTATGATGAAGGAAATATGTGAAACTCCTACTGCCCCAGCATCCCTAGCAAAGTGCACTATTTTTGCAGACCCTTAATCTACTGGGTG